ATAGAAATAAATTCTAGAATTTTTTTAAGACTTCGAAGAGATAAAGTGGTGTTCATGTTAGACATTATTTACATTATAGTACCTTAGCTGTAACACAGACTCAGATTAGCCCGTATTAAAGCCACGTTACGATTTTGGCACGTGTAGGCACTTGTACTAGTTGCACATCAACTTCTTTTTATTTAAAATTATGAATAAATGTATGCTGAAGCGACTTAGTGCCCTAGACGAAGAACTCAACTCTAATTTGGTGATAAATAATAAATAAATTTTATTTTTGTAAAACATGCGTAGGCGATAAGAAACTTAACAGTTTTTCACGTGTAATTGATATTTAATTTAATTTTTAGGCAAGTTTGCACTTGCACCACTTGTACATAAACTTTTTTTTTATCCTGAATAATAAATTAATTTATGCTTGGGTGATTAACAACCCCAGACGAAGAACTAAACTATCTCTTGGTAATAAATGATTACAAAATAATTGTTTGGGAAAAAAGAGCAGGCGTTGGAAGCCTAACTGTTTTTAGTTATAAATATTAATTAAATTTATTTTTAGGCCAGTCAGAGTTGGTAATGAGAAAATGAACTTTTTTTTTATTAAAAGTAATAGATAAATTAAAGAATTTACATCCTTATAAGGCACATCCAAAACAATAATAGCTTAATTATTTTTTCGGAAAATAAGTGTGTCTGATTAAAAGCTTCATTATTATTTAGTAAAAAATAATTAATTGTTATATTCTTAGGCATGTAAGCGCTTATTATAACTGAGTCTACGTTATTATACGTAGCGTTTGCATACTACAGTCAATCTGGTGACAAATGCCTTGAAGAACAGGATAAAATGCCCACTAGTGGGGTGTGATCAGTTTGCAATGGCGGTTCGTATAACAAACATCTCACAAGAGGATATCGGAAACGCCGAAATATGAAAATTGCTGATTGAGGACGACAACAACGATGAAACAAATAAGATTCTAAGATCTACGTCCAATAGTGGGAGTTTTCTTGATAAAGATGAAACTAAATCAATGACGTCACCAAAAAAAAAAAAAAGTCGCGCCTCTGTCAAAACAAGTACAAACATGGCGTCGGTTGAGCGGGAAAGTGACCAAGGCGAAGAAACAAAAGCAATACTTGAGGAGAAAGAAAAAAACGATGCTCTTGTCGTTTAAATCGATTTGCTGCCGTTAGAGACGCAAGTACCGGGATGAAAATTTTGCAGTCTTGAAACGAAGCTATCAAAGCGCGTTGAGCACGGTGATGTGGGCATAAATAGTCTTTGTCTATTGGAAGGGGGGAGGAAACAAAGGTATACAACAGTTACCAGAATATTCAGCATTGATCAATAAATACTTTCTGAGAAAAGATGGCAGTGTACCACTGCATGATGTGAGTTGTACACTGCGTAGTTTATTTCATATATGGTATTTTCTACACTAATTGACACACAGGAAATTCTGAAGATGATTGGATCTGCCTACTCGAATGATGTTAGCCTTGCAGTTAATTGAGCAATCGAACAATGCTTACCTGTCATTTACCCAATACTCATCGAAATATTTATTTGGTGGCTGGGGTCTTCCCATGGGGAAGGGTAACGGTAATTTCAATACCCAACAGTACCCAGCAATTACTGCAGAATGTTTTAGACTAATCAGTATTCTCTTTGGCAGGTAGGCAGATGACTGTATATATCATAATAGTTACTTTAAGTAAAGGAAGCTGCATGTAACCGTTACTGCACTTACCAGAATAGTATAGCTGATGACAGAATATTAGGTATAGACAAACGAAAGTAACTTTACTTGTATTAATTAATTTTTAAAGGTGTTTGACTTTACAAGCATTCAGCTCTTCAGACCTGTCTGTTACCTATTCCAACGTAAGCACGCATTAGTATGTTAATAATTTTTTTATTCATGCTTCAGGACCTATTTAAGAAGCTCGTTAAAGTTCTTAACGAATACCTATTGCTTTCAGTGACATAATATCATACTTAACTGAAAATGGTTCGATAATGAATGGGACCAATATAATGACTATTTGATTTGGTTTCCTAGGTTATCCCCGACATCTAAACGAACTTAATTTTCATCTTGATGTCTCATCTCATCTCTCAAATTTATGTGCACTTTTGATACACCATGCTTGGCTACAACCATGCTTGGTGTTACGATTGATGAAATACTATTTATGAAGACTTACTGCACAGATATGAATTGGCTAGACCTAATTTGTTAGACAAAAATTTTCATATAGAATGTATTGTGTTTCGACCTTCAGTACATTTAATTAATAATTCAAGAAAATTAGACGTTACTATCTGCATGGTAGCTCTATACCTGGGTGCCTAAAAAATTTAGTTCGACAGAGCACAAACCAATTTTTCTTGTTATTTTCAAACGTGCACAATTTTTTAACAAGTAAATAAAATAACGCTTATTAAAAAAAGAGATTGAAAAAAGTTACAATGATTCGTAACCACTTAAAATACTATGAAGAAAATATGAAAACTCTATATTTTAAACTGAAATATCCCTTATATGGTATTGAATTTGTTTTTTTTTACAAACAATCACACACTAAAACTGACATCACGCGCGTTAATGTGTTTTAATCATATACTTTGAAATTTTGTATTTCATTCGCATGGTATAAAGTTGTGTGCGTTTAAAAGAAACAAAATTAATTTTGATATAAATATTTTTAAATAGAATACTTAAGGCTGCGCTACACCACACCACCAAAGCGCACATGCAAAGAAAGAAGCACACTGCTTGAGTACCTTATTCACTCTGACACAAGCGATTCCTATAATAGATT